TTTAGACCTTGTATAAGAAACCCCCAACACCGGTGGTGCTGGGTATCTTAGGCAAGTTCTTGGCATGTTAGTTCCCTTAAAAGGGTAGCAACAGACCATCTGATGGTATCCCCTAGGAAATGCCGGTTTGCTAGGAGGGAATATTAGTTGTGTCCCATTAGTTTGATAGTATGCATCTACTCCTTTCAACTTTGTTAAGAATTAAGAGTAATTCTATACTAGATGGTAATATAGTTCCCCTATTCTGGTTGTGTGAGACATAAATAAATGCCCTTTGTACTATTCGTTGATCTGTAAATCCTTAGACAGTATGAGTAACTAATAATCCCAGTTGTCCCTAGAACATATCTTGATAATTAATAAAGGAACCAAACTGATGCAAGGATGAGCTAGCGTTTAAAAAAAAAAATTAGAATAATATCAATTTTATAATATAAATAAATATTTTTATATTATAATATAGTATTCAATATTATTTAAAATATAATTGGATTATAATTATTAGAAAGAATTAAGAGATATACTTCTATAGATAGATAGAAAATTTTTTCTCTTCATCTAGAACTGTACTGATAGGAATTATTATAATAATAAGTATACTATCTACTTTAGTAGGACTAATATCTATAAAGATAATTAGGCTACCATTAATAGTATATATAAAACAATAAAAACAAACTATATATATAATTTAAGAAAACAAAAAAAATCTAGGAATTATGTAATAAATTCACAATATGGAATCAGAAAATTAACTCAAATTAAAATTTACAAAAATTAAAGTACATATTGGAAACAAATATAATAAACAAGTAGGTCAACTAATTAATATTAATATCAATAATCATATAATTCCTGGGTAGGTGATAATATATATTCTTTATATACAAAACTAGCAATATATATCAATTTCTTATTAGGACTATAAGTAGCTGACTTAACCATACTTTATTAGAATTAAGTAAAGTGTACATATTAATTTATACTAGAACTACTTATATTAACAAATTAAAGTTTAATAGTAAAGGATTTCACCTCATGGCTTGTCATTACTCTTGTTGAGGAGCTTATCAGTCAAGGCTGGATTAGAAATATACATAATTTTAAAGATATCAGATGGATGTATAATATTTTTAATAAATTATCTATATAGTTGTTGATCAAGTTAACAAATTAGTCTTTTATATATCTTTACATTTCATTGAGTTAGTCACTTTTCAGTAGAGTATTTTATTTAGTTGCTCTTTTAATTTTTCTTGTAATGTCTTATACTTATTTCTATCTGTGGAATTCTTCACATCTTTCTTTTTGAATAGTACAATGGTATTTACTCGTATTTTCTCTGATCTTGTTTATGCATAGTTTTCTGGTGAAAATATCTGATATACATTTCATTATGTAGTAAATATTTCTTTTAGGATATCTCTTTTGATGTGGCATTTTATATATTTAGAAAATGTATTGAGCTGTTGTTTCTATATATTTGTATATATGTTTTTGCATCCTTTGTTTTGTTATATTGCTATATTTTTTGAATAATTATATATTGACATATTTTTTCATTTTTTATACTGTTTATCACATAGGATTGGATAAGTATTTGTTTCTTTATTGTTGTAATTAATATATTTGTCATCTTTTATAAAGTAAAAAACTTTGGAAGAGTTTAGTTTTGGTGGACAGTTTTTCATTCCAAAGGTTAAGATTGGACTATCTCTATTTTGATCTTCCCAGTTAGTTGTATAGTTGTTTATTTATGTAGATTGGATATTGTAGATCAATTGATGTGGTTAATTGTTCTATCAATAAATTCATTTCTTGTCCTATTCAAAAGTTCCATTTTGTTAGATGTATTACTCTTATCAGCTTTTTAGCCATCCTTTTGATAGGAACCTCAGTTTCCTTGTAAAAAAAAAAAATTGAAAGTTGACCGTAATTTGAAAAGGAGTTAAACCGAGTTCATGAGGGATAATCAATAAAACGCCACAAATTGACCTCTTGTTGCGGCTAATTAATTTCCCCACACCGAAAAATGCTGTATATTTTAATGTTATTATAATTGGATCATGGAGTTTATTGATCAATTACTTTATAAGCATGTCATATTTCACTTTCTTTTCAATAAGAAAACATTTACGTAGAAAGAAAAAATCTGTGAATTTTTTATAACTTTACTAGAGAGTCTTGGTCAAGCCCATCAGAATCCCGTTGCCATTTTGTTACCCGAAATAAGATGAGATACTTAATCCTGTAATTAACATGATCACTGTATATTATGATTCAGTACTCTGGATGTAAAATTCTATACCTTCCCTGAGATTTGAGTGAAGCAACGAAATAAAGATTTGATGGAAGATTGGTCCATGATGAAACTGGTGGATATCTTGTGCCATTAACCGAAAATGCAACCGTCTTATTGTCCATGTCTAGATGCACAATAATTTTTGCGTTTTCACCAAATTGTGAAGCTAAGAAAACACCTTTACAATTATGATAGGCATTACCACTAGAATCCAAAACCCATCCGTATGGCTGTTCGCCAGGATTTTTAGAAAAGTTTAATTCCGTGCTGCAAACGCCAAACAAAGAATAAGAACTATCTTTCTCAATCAGCGCGTGAAATTCATGAATACCACTACTCATAGGATAGTCGATTTTTACACTTCTATGACTAGCAAAATTTTTAGATGCACTAACTGTGTATCCATCTTCACTAATTTCTAAACCTGCACCACAACCATTTCGATCCCACATTAGGAGAGGAATCCCATAAAAAGGACACGGTGAAGCTTTTATACGGGCTAAAAACCGATAAGTGTCAGTAATTTTGTTGGATGAAACAATATCTAATGGTTCGATTATCTTTGCAATAATCTCAGCATCGATCCTTCTAAAGTCCACATGTTCGATAATGGGTTTTATAATTTCAGAAGTCAATGTACCTATTTCTTTTTCTATTGATTCATTATTTTTGATATTTTGAGGTGCTTCTTTAACTTTCGTCCATGGTGGTAGTTTTACTTCAAGAGAAGAAAGTGCTTCCTGAGAGATGCTTTTTGCAGCTGCCAAGACTGCAAAACGAAAAACAGAGTATTCACTAGATGCAAATTTTTTCTTTTCATTTCTTTTCGACACCATGCATTGTAAACCTTGAAGGGATAGTCTATTGAATTTAATAGAATCTAAAGGAACTTCAGAAACTGCATCAACTAAATATCTAATTATTTCATTTTCAGCCGTAGGTGACATCAGTTGAACTGCTTTAGATAGTAACTCGGGAGATTTATTTTCGGTTCCTTCCGTGCACATATTTTTGTAGTAATCTGAAATAAGACTTTGAAGTTTTTCTAATTGAAAGAAATCTGCCGCATCTAATACTTCAAAAACATTATCGACTGTAATATCATTTTTCAGAACTATTCCAGTATATAAGTACTCAAGTATAATCTTCATGTGCGATGATTCGATTTTTGGAAAAGAAATCTGTTTTTCATAAGTTTCAGAAGCTCTGACAAAGAGCATTCTATCAAACACTTCAGAACGAGCGGCAAGGACCACACGGTTGCCATAAAGGATGATATCATCTTTGCATTTAATTTCTAAATCACTATATTGAGGATTATTAACTAGAAATCTAAAGTCGTCGGTAAGAGAGTTTCCACGTACCATTGTTGTTTTGTAGATTAAACCAACAGATATGTACATGAATTTATACTGAACGGTTGTGATTATTTGTGATGTCGTACCGTAACATTTGTTAGTCATGAATCTATATTTAAGAACAAAGAAAATTTGTTAATCGTAAATCTTTTATCTAAGAACAAAGAAGCCGTTCGTTTCACAAAATTTTACGCACTCATGTTTGAATAAATAAGTCTTAAAACATATAAGATTTCGTTAACTAAGGATATAAAGATTTTTGTAAAAAATTTTTGATAATCAAAGAAAGCACATTAAATTTTAGATTTAAAATTACATTATCCCGTACAATAACAAAAATAACTTTCAAGATTCCGCTTTAGATGCAATGATTTACGTAAAACGTAAAATTTATTTCTATTTAATACACACTTTAAAAAGAGCATCCGCTTAATGCTTAAAAAGGTGCCTCTGTTGATAATACGTATATTGGAGTGACGAAATAAAGTTTTGGTGGAAATTTGATTCATGATTACGATGCAACTGATGGATGACATGTGCCATTAACCCAACATGCACGTCTTATACGTATTTCTTTCTAAGTGCACGATTATTTTTGCGTTTCATCAAACTTGGGAGACAAGACGTTACCTTTCGGATTATGATAAACATTTCCACCAGAACCTAAAATTTATTGTTCTCTAGAATGTTTGAAAAGTCGAAAATTATTTTCCCCATTTCTCATTTAAATCATGAAATTAATTATCATCGTTAATAAAGGGATGCGCAGTCAATTCTTATATGCCGTACAATAAAGTAATAAAATTTATTGGTGTATACTGACTATACGCTTAATCTCTAAACCACACTGAAACCGATCCTACATGAAGTCTAAGAGGAAACTCCATAAAATGGTGATAGCGGAGCTTTCTTATAAGTTTATAAGGGTTAATTATACTGATTAATACTGGAATAGTTCTGAAAAATGATATTACAGTCGATAATGTTTTTGAAGTATTA